GGAATTCCTAGGAATTCCTAGGAATTCCTAGGAATTCCCAGACTACTGGGAATTTATTTCGCAGGGGTGGGATAACTGTCGAGAATAGTTATAACCCAAGATCATTCCCAGAGGGAATGAGTAATTTTCTGCCTTGAAATAAAATTCTACAAAAACGGTTGGATAGCACAATAACATTCTCGGTGAAGATTGCCATTGCTTGTGCAGTGCGGCATATAACTATTACATTAAAATTGGGGACGAATGGGAGGATGATTTTTATGATGATGATGATGACCGCAGAAACGAACAGAACAATGACTTCATGCAAGATGGGGAAGATATAAGAGAGTTGCTAAAAGACAGTCTGATTTTTTTCAAACGATTTTAATTATTTCATCCTTAGACATTGAACTTTTGCTGTATTTGATTTTTCACAAAGAAAATGGAAGAAAATCAACAATCAAATATTATGATATTGCATTGTAATTTGTGCTTGGCATGCATGTTGAATTATTAGAAATGATTTCCATCACAGCAATGAAATACACTATACCTGTTGTTCAGATTTCTAGAGAAAAGTGTATCAAGATAATTTTTGTCTTGACAATAACAAATCAATTAAAACTACTTTCATTTGTTTCCATAATTTCGTTTGATCGATTCGTAACATAAACAATAAACATGATAATGGTTGTTTCTCAACAGTCAAAAATAGTCTTGAATTAAGTTCATTTCTCTTTCTCATTCTGTTGGTTGTCAAGGATTTTCACAATTGATCCCATAAACTGGCTCATCATGGCAAGCTGTTGCATTTGTGTTTGTTGCAATGAATCCAAAAAGGTTGCTACTTTCTCCCCCTGCTGTCTTGCATCCTTTAGAGCCATTTTGAACTCTTTGTTGCTCTCATTATCAGGTGCTTTGCGTTTCGATGCTCGGGATGCTTGGATGAAGTACTAATCTCGCCAGTATCATCACTAGATTCCGCAACAATTTCGGTGGCACTTTCGCTGCTGATTCCCGCTTCAGCTACCTGATTGAAGGTTACTACGTCGTGGCATCCAAGGATTTTATCGACCTCGTTGTAGTAGACAGATTTCCTGAGGCTTCCTCCTGTTTGGTTTTTGTTCCAATCTTTTGCATTCTTGTATCATTCTATGATATACTTCATTTTCCGAATACATTTGTTGGCCGTCTTGTTGGTTCCAAGCATTTTTGAAATCTTCTCGGCGATCCAACCCCATGTTTTCCTTGACTCTCAACTTTCTAACTGATCGTGCTTTTCAGCCCACAGTTGAGCTAACAGCTTTCCCTCCTCTTTACCCTGTCTATCCTGAGCCTTCTTGTTTTCAGCTGACAAAGATGTACGGTGCAAAGAGTTGGGGTTGACACCGGCATTGAACTGTCTTCGCTGAGCTGAAGGGATTCTGGCAACGAGTCAGTGCTTGTGATTGAAGAAGATGGGCTGGGATTTCCTCAATCATTAATCATGTAAGGGCCTGGCAAAGGATAGATCCATCCTGGTGGATATTGTGGAAATTAGTATAGGAAAAATTGGTTGCCTGTGCCAGGATTCATGTTGTTGCGAAATGAGAACGTGCTTAATTTTGCTGCGAAGTCTATTGAATAGAGAGTCTGCTACATATCACCTGTCACCTCATTTCCAAATCAAAACACCCTCGCTCTTGTTGTCCAAGATTTGTCTCAATTTGGCCTGCTCCAGAGGTAGTTGACGGCATCTTTGAAGTTTGTCGCTCCGCGACCAAATTTTGTCCTTTGGGGAATTAACCGGTCGCACTTGGTTTTCCATTGTGATGATGGATTTTTGACATAAGTAAACAGTTTTGTCCTCTAGTGTGACTTGGCCCTAAGCCTAATTGTAACAGCTAAAAGACAAACCAAAATTTCAAGACGATCAACAAAACTCTTATCTTAAAAATCGTTTTAATAGCATGCGTCTCTTCGTCACCATAAAAAAGTAGATCACTCCATTCAACTTTGATAAATAAAAATTTGGTAAATAACACCCATTCCATGTCGGAACGTCTTTAATTCACTTTTAGGCTTCCCACATTTGAAATCAAACTGAAAAATAGACGGCTAAATTGGTCAACCACAAAACAGTTTATTTCAATGCAGAAAATTACTCATTCCCTCTGGGAATGATCTTGGGTTATAACTATTCTCAACAATCTCACCATTCTCAGTGAGATGTTGGCAGTTTTGGCGAGATCTCGGCGAGATTCTTGTTCTTTCTACATGTCGGCGAGATCTCAGCAAGATGTAGGCAATCTTGGTAAGATGTTTGTCTTTCAAAATCTCGGCAAGTTCTTGGCGAGATTTAGGAAATCTCGCCGCGATCTCACCGCAATCTCGCCGAGATTCAGAAACTCACAAACATCATGGCGAGATCTCACTAATCTCTGCAAGATCTCACTAAAAATTTTGCACAGGATCTTTCTTCAAATCTGGGATATTGCTGCAACAGCTGATAGCACTTCTGGAAGGAGTTTCTGTGCACTTTTTGTATGTGTATTGCACCATCCTGAAGGAAATGAGAGGATGTGAGATATTCAACCTTCCTGGGTAGTCACAATAGCCGCTGGACCCATTCTCCTCAAACTTGGTCGCGAACCAAGTGGTGCTGTTTTGGAGCTATTTTCAAGATTTTGTCGGGGCACAGAAAATCGAGGATTTAACCGAATCCAAACATTTTTTTGCAGAAGTATTGCAAATAACAAGTAGATTCGTTTTAGTGAAAAAAAAATTGGGGGGATTAGGTACTTTTTTGAGCTGTACGTGACAGTCTTATCTGTCAATAAACCTTGTTGTTTTTGACATAGTGGAGCCCTATTTCAGTGTGTTTGTTTTGTCTGCTAGAGACTATTTCTCTCAACGAATTTATGATATCTGATTTTGTGTGTTGACATTTTGATATCTTGGCAAGATTGCCAAGAATACTTCCAGTTTCTCAGCGAGTTTTTTTGGCCTCCAAGATTTTAATATCTCATGAGAATCTCGGCGAGATCTCAGCCTGCAAAATTTCCACTGCAAAATTTTGACCGAGACCTCAATAAAAATTCTGCAGGGGTAGGCTTTCTTTCTGAGAAGAATATATGCAAACATGCGCTGGTGTGTGTCAAAATCATTGCAGAATGCAAGGAATATGTGTTGTT